ATCTGAGCTTTATTCTGTATTCTCTATTGCAGTGGTTCTCAACTGGTTTGGCCATGGGACCCACATTTATACATGGAAACTGTAATATATTTTTAGGAATTGTTATTAATTTGTATTTATTTGTTAACATACACAAGTAGTGACAGATAAATCATGAGAAAATCAGCAAGACTTACAAATAAACAAAATTTTATTGCTGTCATTTACAGCGGAGAAATTGAAATGGTCGTGCCCAACTGAGTCTGGTTTCTCTCAAGGTTTTTTTTCTTCACTCTCCTATCGGTGAAGTTTTTTCTTCCCTCTCTGCTGTCGCCACTGGCTTGCATGGTTCAGGATCGGTAGAGCTACGCATCGATGAATTTGCTCTTCAGTGTTTGGACTCACAGTAATGACTTTAAACCACACTGAACTGAGCTAAACTGAACTGAACTTAAACACTGAAAACTGAACTACCCTGATCCAGTTACTGTGACCGTTTATGTGGAGCTGCTTTGACACAATCGATATTGTAAAAGGGCTATACAAATAAAGCTGAATTGAATTTAACCAAATGTCTCAAATTATAGAAATATACAAAGTAAAAACGACAAATGTTTTGGTTTTGAGCACGTCACTACAAATGACAGACTGAGGTTTTAAGCCTTTTTTGTCGTCGATATATGTAAATCCATACTTTACATATTCTGGGTCAGACTTGCACTTTGACATATTTGTTGCTGTGATTAAATTGAATTTCACATGTCAAACGGTACAGTTGTCGCTCGCGCATTTCAAAATAAAAGTCTGGTAGAAGCAAAATTATTTAAAGACTAAACATTTGTTGTTTTTATGGCCACACACACACTGAAAGTGGGTCCTGACCCACCAGTTGAGAAACACTGCTCTATTGGATTCGGATCAGGTGACTGCCTGGGCCATTCTTCTGCTTGATTTTCTTTCTCTGAAAGAATTTGAGAGTTTCCTTGGCTGTGTATTCATTTAAACATGAGGGAGGCCGGAGACAGTGTTGCCAGATTGATTGAAAATGTCAAAGTATTGCACCAGAGCCTCAAAATGATCGTATTTGGCGGGAAATTATCGTACACAAGTCAAACAGAGAGTATACAGCTATTATCTAGTCAAATAGCGTTTTGACACAACATGTAAATTACCATGATACGTAAAAAAAACTAGGCGTACATAAAGCCTGGTTTATACTTCTGCGTCAAGTGACCAGCGTAACCAGCGGCGTATGCAACGCGTGTAGCTGTGCATGCGCGCTGTCTCTGTTGGTCTGCATTAACACTTCCAAAACACTAGTTGGCAGTGTGGTGTCAATGTGTCTTTGTGTCGAGTTTCTTTGCTGCTGTTTTGTTCTTTCTGAACGCTTCAGGGATGTAAAAGTGGCTCAAACTCGCTCATTTTGAGGCAACTTTAACCATGAGGTAAACACAAAACAAAACTTTCCATCCGGAGCTTTTTCACGGGACTCCACACTTGTAAACAATCGCTCCATCGGGCTCTCGGTTCTGCCCAGACTCGTCAGCGCTACCAAGCCTACCAATCACAGAGCTTGCGCTACGCGTGGTTGTGACGTGTAGTTACATTTTTTGAGAGGTGCACGTCAGCAATGCCGTAGGGTTATGCGTCAACGCGTAGGCTGCGCCGTAGCATACGCATGTGTTTGACGCAGAAGTAAAGATCAGCCTTTAGTGGGAAGGTTCAAACTCCTCCTCCGAGTCACTGTCCTGCATGTGTTGCCAGATGTTAAGGCAGTGATCACCAAACTTGTTCCTGGAGGGCCGGTGTCTTGCAGATATTAGCTCCAACCCTAATCAAACACACCTGAACAAGCTAATCAAGGTCTTACTAGGTATACTTAAAACATCCAGGCAGGTGTGCTGAAGCAAGTTGGAGCAAAACCCTGCAGGGACACCGGCCCTCCAGGACCGAGATTGGTGACCCCTGTGTTAAGGGATTCGTTTTGGGGTACATATCGGATGCCGTCATGCACCGCAACCTAACAAAGCAGTGCACCCTCCTGAATTTTGGACACACTCTGAGGTGTGCACGAGCCCATTCAGAGTATCTGTAATGAGCCGAGTTCGTGGCTTTGTTTTGATGAGATTAACTTAGGAAAAACACGTTCACATGACGCATTTGAACGGGGAAAAACAAGAACATCAAGGGCAAGCTCCCCTTCCTTTTCATTCATTCATTCATTCATTCATTTTCTTGTCGGCTTAGTTCCTTTATTAATCCGGGGTCGCCACAGCGGAATGAACCGCCAACTTATCCAGCAAGTTTTTACGCAGCGGATACCCTTCCAGCCGCAACACATCTCTTGGAAACATCCACACACACATTCACACACACTACGGACAATTCAGCCTACCCAATTCACCTGTACCGCATGTCTTTGGACTGTGGGGGAAACCGGAGCACCCGGAGGAAACCCATGCGAAGGCAGGGAGAACATGCAAACTCCACACAGAAACGCCAACTGAGCCGAGGTTCAACCCAGCGACTTTCTTGCTGTGAGGCGACAGCACTACCTACTGCGCCACTGCCTCGCCCCTTCCTTTTCAGCACTACTTTTTAAAACTTTATTGCTTAAACAATCAACCTCAACCTGAAACGGCTGACTTAAGAATAGCCCCATGCGGCAGGAAGGTTAACTCATGAGAGAGAGCCATTCTCCATGTTGATTGGCTGAGCAAATGTAAGGTGAGACCGAAAACTCCACGTTCTCCTCACAGACAGCCGACAAAAGATGCAGCTAGATTAATAAGTATAGAAGCTCCAAGTTTACAATGAAATTAATTTTAAATGTCGTAAAATTCTGAAATTATCGTACATTATAGGATTTTATTTTTAATTATTGATCATACATCGTACAGAGGTCGAAATTATTGTACAAATATGATGATTATTGTACGTCTGGCAACACTGGGCAGAGCGTTGCTGAAGAACCACAGAGAGATTTCAGCTGCTGTATGGGCTTTACATGCTTTTACACACCTTCCTTCCTTCATGTGTTCATTTTTTTCATTTGTAACCTAAGAAGTTTGCTTCTCTTTGCATTTTGTTTTGATGAGATTAACTTTGGAAAAACACGTTCACATGACGCATTTGAACGGGGAAAAACAAGAACATCAAGGGTAAACTCCCCCGTCCATCTCCCCTTCCTTTTCAACACTACTTTTTAAAACTTAAACAATCAACCTCAACCTGAAACGGCTGACGTAAGAATAGCCCCATGCGGCAGGAAGGTTAACTCATGAGAGAGAGCCATTCTCCATGTTGATTGGCTGAGCAAATGTAAGGTGAGACCGAAAACTCCACGTTCTCCTCACAGACAGCCGACAAAAGATGCAGCTAGATTAATAAGTATAGAAGCTCCAAGTTTACAGTGAAATTCATTTTAAATGTTGTAAAATTCTGAAATTATCGTACATTATAGGATTTTATTTTTAATTATTGATCATACATCGTACAGAGGTCGAAATTATTGTACAAATATGATGATTATTGTACGTCTGGCAACACTGGGCAGAGCGTTGCTGAAGAACCACAGAGAGATTTCAGCTGCTGTATGGGCTTTACATGCCTTTACACACCTTCCTTCCTTCATGTGTTCATTTTTTTCATTTGTAACCTAAGAAGTTTGCTTCTCTTTGCATTTTGTTTTGATGAGATTAACTTTGGAAAAACACGTTCACATGACGCATTTGAACGGGGAAAAACAAGAACATCAAGGGTAAACTCCCCCGTCCATCTCCCCTTCCTTTTCAACACTACTTTTTAAAACTTAAACAATCAACCTCAACCTGAAACGGCTGACTTAAGCATGGCTCCATGCGGCAGGAAGGTTAACTCATGAGAGAGAGCCATTCTCCATGTTGATTGGCTGGGCAAATGTAAGCTAAGATGAGACCCAAAACTCCACGTTCTCCTCACAGACAGCCGAAAAAAGATGCAGCTAGATTAATAAGTATAGAAGCTCCAAGTTTACAGTGAAATTCATTTTAAATGTTGTAAAATTCTGAAATTATCGTAAATTATAGGATTTTATTTTTAATTATTGATCATACATCGTACAGAGGTCGAAATTATTGTACAAATACGATGATTATCGTACGTCTGGCAACACTGGGCAGAGCGTTGCTGAAGAACCACAGAGAGATTTCAGCTGCTGTATGGGCATTACATGCTTTTACACACCTTCCTTCCTTCATGTGTTCATTTTTTTAAATTTGTAACCTAAGAAGTTTGCTTCTCTTTGCATTTTGTTTTGATGAGATTAACTTTGGAAAAACACGTTCACATGACGCATTTGAACGGGGAAAAACAAGAACATCAAGGGTAAACTCCCCTGTCCTTCTCCCCTTCCTTTTCAACACTACTTTTTAAAACTTAAACAATCAACCTCAAACTAAAACGACTGACTTAAGCATGGCTCCATGAGGCAGGAAGGTTAACTCATGAGAGAGAGCCATTCTCCATGTTGATTGGCTGAGCAAATGTAAGCTAAGATGAGACCGAAAACTCCACGTTCTCCTCACAGACAGCCGACAAAAGATGCAGCTAGATTAATAAGTATAGAAGCTCCAAGTTTACAGTGAAATTCATTTTAAATGTCGTAAAATTCTGAAATTATCGTACATTGTAGGATTTTATTTTTAATTATTGATCATACATCGTACAGAGGTCGAAATTATTGTACAACACTGTCTGGGAACAGTGGGCAGAGGGTTGCTGAAGAACCACCGAGAGATTTCAGCTGCTGTATGGGCATTACATGCTTTTACACACCTTCCTTCCTTCATGTGTTCAATGTTTTTTTTTATTTGTAACCTAAGAAGTTTGGTTTTCTTTGCATGTATGAGTTTATTTGGTTGTTATCGACGTTTGGTGAAAATTTCAAGCGCACAGCACCTTTATAAATATGTTTCCTGAGATAAATGGTGGCGTGTTCAATACTTATTTCCACCACTGTATATTTGTACTTCCAACTCCAGGACCCACGGCAGTTCAAATCCCAGAAGACATCGCGGGGAATGCTGAAGGAGGGCTGGAGAGACACGCAGGACCCCATCATGTGCTCCTATAAGCTGGTGACCGTGAAGTTTGAGGTGTGGGGACTTCAGACGCGCGTGGAGCAGTTTGTGCATAAGGTTACTTTCACATTGTCGCATTTATATCCCGGACGAGCCCCCAGCGCCCGCACCAACCCTGTATATTTCTGTTTTCTCTTTCTGTAGGTGGTGAGGGATGTGCTGCTCTTGGGTCACAGACAGGCTTTCGCTTGGGTTGACGAATGGATTGGTGAGTTTTGCTGTCAGATTGCGGTTTAGTCATGTTTTTCACCTTTGCCGCAGTCGCTTTTGTGTTGACTTTGTTTTGGCCCAGAGTCATGACTAACTAAACCTCGCGGATGCCTGAACGCAGTCGTGATGCACAACTGTGTTTAGTCTCGACATGAGTCACAAACACACAAAAAGAGAGTTGAGACACTCAAGTTTTCTTCATGTTCTCATCGAGGACCTTGACCTCACTTATTGGATGAGACTTCCTGAAGCAAGTCGTGAACACTTTCAAGAGATTCAGTCATTCTCTTTATCTTAGGAAAGTACACCCCAAAAAGAAGGCAGGCATGGTCGTCTTATGTTGTCAGTTATCGATGAACTCCTTAAAGACGTCAGGAAATTAAAATGTACTCGTCTTGTTTTTATATGTATACAGTAGTGTGTAAACGATGTGTCTGTGCACTTCATTCTTTTGTAAAAATCCATTTGCCCTCATAATCTTTAATCAAACACCCTAACCCTCCCTCCACCATTGAAACAACGATTCTTCACTTCTGGTCACATGGTATGCACTTGGGGGGCGGGGTTATCAGGCCTTTAGGGGGGAACTATCAGTCTTGTAGGGGGAGGCTATCAGTCCTATAGGGTAGGGCTATCAATCTTTAAGGGTGAGGCTATCAAGCCTTTAGGGCGGTACTGTGGTTTAGGGAGGGGCTATCATTCATTTAGGGTGGGGCTATCAGTTCTTTAGGGCGGGACTATCAGTCCTTTAGGGTGGGGCTATCATTTATTTAGGGTGGGGCTATCAGTCCTTTAGGGTGGGGCTATCAGTGATTTAGGGTAGGGCTATCAGTCCTTTAGGGTGGGGCTATCATTTATTTAGGGTGGGGCTATCAGTCCTTTAGGGTGGGGCTATCAGTGATTTAGGGTAGGGCTATCAGTCCTTTAGGGTGGGGCTATCATTCATTTATGGTGGGGCCATCAGTCCTTTAGGGTGGGGCTATCAGTCCTTTAGGCTGGGGCTATTAGTGATTTAGGGTGGGGCTATCAGTGATTTAGGGTGGGGCTATCAATTCTTTAGGGTGGGGCTATCA